CACAGATCCTGAGGAGAACCTCAGTGACTTCCCAGTCTATCCTATGATTTGACTCCAGTTTTGAGAAGAAATTATTAAAGTGTTTCATCCTGCCAATTTTATTTAATTAGGGCTTATATTTGCATGACATGACCACACAAATCACCTGGAAGATATGAGGGTTTACGTCGTATCGGACGACAACCTCGGAACCTAGAACGAGTTAGGGCTTAAATCGTACAACAGAGCTATACGAATGTCTAAAGAAAAGACGGAGGATTTATGTTGCGCTAGGCAAACAACCTCGAAATCCTATGAATTGTTATTTAATTTATAAGAAAAGGAATGATTTTGCTAGGGAAGACATGTTCTGCTGTTGAAGATAGCCGTGCTGCCCACCGCACTGGCTCCAAGCTCACCGACGTGACGAGTTTAAGTTTTCTAGGGTGTCAGTTATAGTGTCAAATCAAACGGCCCTATGGTTGTAGTCCTTTAAACATCCTATATAAAAAGGAAACATGCTTAAAGCTATAGGATATAAAATGTGCAGTACAGGGCAAACAGTAGAATACATGTCAAACAGTAGTAGGCAAAAAACAGGAGCAGTGTAACATGCTATACAGGAAGAACAGTACCAGGTGAAAAACAGGAGTAATATGACATGTTATACAATACAGTAGCAGGTGGAAAACAGGAGTAATACGACATGCTATACAGTACAGTAGCAGGTGGAAAACAAGAGTAATACGACATGCTATACAGTACAGTAACAGGTGGAAAAAAAAACATGAGTAATATGACATGTTATACAGTACAGTAGCAGGTAGAAGCAGAAATGACATAATCATGTTGTACAGGAAGAGCAGTAGCAGGTAGAAAACAAAAAATAAAGTACTGAAAAATATAAAGCAAACATGTACGCCCGTGAGATACGATGTTCCTTAAGTATAGCAAGCCTAAATGCATCTCAAAAAGCAAAGCCCGAAAGAAAACGTCATCTAGGAAATTCGAGGAAAAGCGAAAAACTCGACAAAATCAACGAAAAAGACTCAAGTAAAAAAAAACCCTCAAAACTCCTGGGAAAATCCCGAAAGAAAGAAAAAGTACACGAGTGTTCTGTTTCAAAGCTTCGATAAAAAAAAAAGAATATTCGGATGAGGGAGACCGCAAGCACTCGTATGGGATTAAGCTCAGCTGTATATTCATTCTCGAGGGTCCACAAAGGCTACTAGGTCACCCGAATGTATAGAACCCGTCACTCGTCTAGAAGTGTGTCTTGAACCTCACTTAGAGGGCTATTTCCCAGCCTAAACAGGTATTCGTCAGGTGGACAACCAACTTTAAAACGTATTTTAAAAGTTATGTTTTTGACATACACACAAATTTTAAATATGGAAAGAAGAGTTATCAATTTTGTTTCGTAAAAAAGGTACATTTTCGTTAATGGTTTATCAAAACTTATCTTTTATCAAAACTTATCTTTTCTTTTATTTTGGTTGTCCACGAGTCGACTACGCTGCTAGGCATAGGACTGCCAACAGCCTGAGGAGGTTCGAGCCAACTCCCGCTAGACTTATGTCGGTGAAGGATACCATATCCTATTGTTCATCAAATGCTTGGATCTTGATGTATAGGATAGGGCATCTTTCTGCTCTATCTTCGGTGTGTCTTTATCATCAACACCGTACGCCCCAAAACGACTACTTGCGATCTTGCTTGATGGTTTCACGTATAGCAAAAAGCTATA